AATATAAATATTTTTTATAAAATTTTATAATTTATTTATATATATATATATGTCGTGCCGAATATGTAAAACGGGGTCAATTAGCAAGAACTATTTAAAATTAAGCCCTTTCTAAATTTTTCTCTTATACTTTAAGATTATTTTTTTTCATTTTGTTAATGAAAAAAAATTTAAAATTTTGCCCCAAAAGGGATTTAGAAAAACTTCCCAACCTTTCATAACAAGAAAAATTTTTTTTAGCCTAGCCCACAAAAATTTTTGTGATTTGTTTACAAATTTAATATAAAAAAAACACAGTGAAATATATTTTTTTCGTTTGGTTTAAAGAATGTTTTGGCGAATTATTCCATTCACAAATTTTCGCTTGCCCTTTTGGGCAAAAGAACGTTGTATTCAGGCGTTGATCGAAAAATTTGCTTATTCGGACGACTTATTTAATAAAATTTTATATATATATATTATATTTTTTAATTTATATATTATATATTATATTTATATATAATTTATATATATATTTTATTTGCAAAAAGATCACAGTAAACAGGTGATTTCAAAATTTGCAAACAACCATCTGAAAGAATAGAAAAATTCCAGTGCTTTCGTGAAACTCACTTTATCAAGGAACATGGAATTTCTTTTTCTTTCGAGGGGTTGTTTTTGATTTTTTTTTTTTTTTATTTTTTTATTTATTTTTTATTATATTATTATAATTTTTTTATATTTTTAATATATATATATATATATATATATAGGATATATATTTATTTAAAATTATATTTATATAATATAAATATATATATAATTTTTATAATTTATATATTTTAAATTTTTAATATATGTTATTTTTTACAAATGGAATTTTTATTAATAATATGGTACAGAGATTTAAGAGATCATTTTTGGGATATAAAGGGGGCTTTTCGGTAATGTTGTTACGTGGTATCACGATTTTAAGGGGGGAAAAATCTTCCAGCCCCTCAGGCGGGGCATGTGCCCAAAATCAGCAGGCATTACCCCTTTGAACCCCGCACGGGGCCCGCTGGAACAGGAAACTAGCTGCCCTGGGACCCCTTGTTCATGATGAGTTTTTTTCCCCAGTTTTTAAAGGAATTTGATGCCTTTTCCCCTGAGCCAAGGGTCTCTGAGCCTAGGGGAACAAACATATAATGTGGGAAAGTTCCCCATATTTTCAGTTTTTTGGGATCTCTGAGGTGGCAGTCCCCCTCCTTCCTCCTGGTGTATTGGGATGGGTTCACCCAAAGGTAGATGAAAATGTATAGTCCCACACCACCTGCTTCCCATTTTCCCGGGCTTGAAGGGTGTCCCTTTGGACGCTTTGGCTGCCATCGATCTGCATAGTTGGGGGGGGGCTCCTTTTGTGGGCATCCAGCTGTTGTGAGGCTCCTCTTGTAATGTTATTAACCCCCTCATGTTTGCAATTTTTTCCCTCGGATTTACGGCAACAAGCCATGGTACCGAATTTTCCGCTGCTTCACTGCCACAAATACCCTGTTTTGGGCGAGAATAGGGGCGGCAAAGTCGAAGGGAAACCCGATGCGGATGGTTTTTGGGGGGTTCGAGACGTGTGCCAAGGGGGGTTTGGGAACAGCCAAAGAAAGCCCCTAGCTGAGGGGCTCTCACTCCCAGGAGGGGGGGGCTCTATCCTTCCCTGACAACTCTAAAAGCTTTGGGGTTGGGCAATATTTTCACTTGGGACCACCCCAGTGCGATTTTTGTTTTGTTGGGGGGAGCGGTTGGTTCCAGACCCCGTTAGTTTACCCAGTAAATGCCCCGTCAATGAATTTTTGGTCCTGGACCCCAAATCTTGCCCCTAAGATGTTCGGGGGAATCGCTGTCAAACTTCTGGATGCAATACACGGGGACGAAAAGCCGGTAACGCAAAACTGTGTGACTTTTCGGACACCAATGCCTCTAGTCTGTGGGAAATGTAGCTTGGTTCCCCTGCCGTCTTTGGTAAAGGTTTTAAATACTTTTTAAAAACTGCCTCAGAATACTTCATATTCGTGCAGTATAGGGTTTCATATGAAGTGCACTCTTAGGAAATGTAAAATGGAGACTCAAGCACTTTGTGAGAAGGTACAAGCATCGTGGGTGTCCAGATTTCCCATTCGTTGTTCCATTCTCCTTAAACTCTTCCCTTTTTCCCGGGAATTGTCCCAATGGCATTGTTCCCCTGGTGTCCTAGAAGACATATTTGTGGGGGCAAGATGTGCTCCTGGTAGTTTGGTTTTTACTGCATTTATCACTTGTTTACTGTGAGAGATTTTTTTATTATATATATTTTTATAAAATTAATTTAATATATATTTAATATATATATAATATTTATATATATATATATTATAATATATTATTATATATGTATGTATATATATATATATATTACATATTATATATATAATATATAAAAATAAATTTTTATTTTTTTTATATATTTATAAAATTTTTATATATATTTTTCTCAAAAATTTCCTAATTTATCTATCTATTACGTTGATCTCTTCAAATTATACATAAAGACATTGTATGGCCCACCAACAGGTAGGTTCTACACAACTTACATATACAAGTTTGTATGACCTCAACAGGTCGGGTTTTCTACACAACTTACATAACAAGTACATTGATGACCTACCAAAGGGACTGGTATCTACAAATTACTTAAAGTAATTTGTGGGCCCACAAAAAAGGGGCCGGTATCTTCACAATTTACATATTAAGTGATTGTATGACCTACCAAGGTGCTGGTATCTACACAAATTTTCTACCAAGTACATTGTATGACCTACCAAAAAGGTGCTGGGTTTCAAACTTATTATACAGTACATTGTAGGACCTATGTATCTTCACAACTTACTATACAGTACATTGTATGACTACCTACAAGTGTTGGTATCTACCAACTTACATTTACAAGTACATTGTATGACCTACCAAAAGGTGCTGGTATCGCCCAAAACTTAAATATACAAGTACATTGTATGACCTACAAACAGGTGTTGGTATCTACACAATTTACATATAAAAGAAACATTGTATGACCTTCCACAGGTTTACTGGTATCTGCACAGTGTTCATATACAAGTACATTGTATGACCTAAAAAACAGGTGGGGTTTATCTATACAACTAAATTTTTCAGTACATTGTATGACCTACCAAACAGGTGCTGGTATCTACACAATTAAGTATACAAGTACATTGTATGACCTCCCAACAGGTGCTGGTATCTACACAACTTACATTTTTACAAGTACATTGTATGACCTACCAAAGGTGCTGGTATCTACACAACCTTAAATTTTACATGTACATTGTATGACCTACCAACAGGTATGGTATCTACTCAACTTACATATAAAAGTACATTGTGTGACCTACCAACAGCTGCTGGTATTACACAATTTACATATACAAAGTACATTGTATGATCTACCAACAGGTGCTGGTATCTACACAATTTTACTTTATACAAGTACATTGTATGGCCTACCAACAGGTGTTTGGTATCTGCACAACTTACATATACAAGTACATTGTATGTCCTCCCAACAGGTTCTGGTATGTACACAACTTATATTACAGGTATATTGCATGCCCTTTACCAAAACAGGTACTGGTATCTACAAAAACTTACATGTACAAGTACATTGTATGCCCTACCAACAGGTGTTGGTATCTTCACAACTTACATATACAAGTACATTGTATGCCCTACTAATAGGTGCTGGTATCTACACAACTTAAATATACAAGTTTTATTGTATGCCCTTCCAACAAGGTGCTGGTTCTCCCACAATTTACATATACAAGTAATTGATGACCTACCAACAGGTGCTGGTATCTACAAAAACTTACATATACAAGTACATTGTTTTAAACCTACCAACAGGTGCTGGTATCTACACAACTTACATATACAAGTACATTGTATGACCTACCAACAGGTGCTGGTATCTGCACATCTCCCCAACACACAACAACAGACAATGGAAACACCATCCACCATATACTCGTCATCCTCTTTACTGAAACACTCCCAACGAAAATTTTTTTGATTAAAATTAGAAACGCTGGTTTTAGCAGGTGTTTATGTGTGTGCTTGTGTGTGTGTATGTACTCACCTATTTGTGGTTGCAGGGGTCAAGTCTATGCTCCTCTCCTCACTTTTTCGCTGGTCTCTAGTACGTTAACCCTGTCCCTCTTACACGAGCCCGTGGCCTGGTAGCAAAGTTCTCACTTCACACTGCATAGGTGGAAACATTGGGTGTTTCCTTACACTGGTTGTCCATGTTCACCCATCAGTAAAAATGGGTACCTGAGTGTTAGTCGACTGGTGTGGGTCGCATCCCGGGACAAAACTGACCTAATTTGCCCGAAATGCTATGCATAACAAGCGGCTTTCTATACAGTAGTATGTCATTGATGTTAGCTAGATCTCTATACCTTGTACATGTACTTGTGGAAATAAAGAGATTACTATTATCGTACCTCTTCTTTAAGCTATATATGGCTGAAGAAATACTTTCAAACATCCCTGTGACTCATTTAATTCTTCAGCTTTCAGTTGTGACCCTTTGTTGCTGTCCTCCACTGTCGTCAGGTTGAGTTCCCTTAACCTCTCCACGGAGGACATACGTCTCAGCTCCGGGAATAATCTTGTTGCAAACCTTTGCACTTTTTCTAGTTTCCATTCTTGTGCTGCATACTTCAATATGAGCCTGGCTCCTTACCCAGGCATCGAAACGCTATTTTTTAGGTTAGCCAGGTGCCCATATGCTGCTGCAATTGTTTGGTTGATGTGCACCTCAGTAGATGTTCTCGGTATGATACTCACCCCAAGTTCATTTACCATGTCTGCTGTTTGTGGGCTTTGGTCCCCTAGCCTGTACTTTGTCTGCTAAGTTCTTTGACCTTCCCCATTCTTTATGACCTTGTACTTGGTGGAGTTGAACTCCAGGGGCCAGCTATTGGACCAACCTTGCAGCCTGTCCAGATCCCTTTGTAGTGCTACCCGACCTTCATCCATTTGTATTTTTCGCATTAGCTTCACATCTTCCGCAATCAGGAAAACTCCTGAGTCTATCAGTTCCGTCATGTCATTCACATTTCTGCACCGGCCCCAAGATGACCCCCATGAAACCCCGCTGTTGACAGGCGCCTTCTCCGACACCTCCTCACGTACCATCACTTGTTATTTCCTTTCTGTTAGGTATTCTCTGATCCATTGCTCTCCCTTTCTTGTTATTCCTGCCTGCTCTTCTAGCTTTTACTCTAATATCTTGTATGTAAATATGTTGAAAGCCTTCTTACAGTCCAAGAAAATGAAGTCTACCCACTCCCTCTCTCTTGTCTTACTTCTGTCACCTTGTCGTAAAACTCCAGTAGGTTGGCATGTATTCACCTAATTGTACTCACCTAATTGTACTCACCTAATTGTGGTTGCAGGGGTCGAGACTCAGCTCCTGGCCCCGCCTCTTCACCGACCGCTACTAGGTCCTCTCTCCCCCTGCTCCATGAGCTTTATCATACCTCGTCTTAAAACTATGTATAGTTTCTGCCTCCACTACATCGCTTGCCAGACTATTCCACTTCCTAACTACTCTATGACTGAAGAAATACTTCCTAACATCCCTTTGACTCATCTGAGTCTTCAGCTTCCAAGTGTGACCCCTTGTTTCTGTGTCCCATCTATGGAACATCCTGTCTCTGTCTACCTTGTCTATTCCACGCATTATTTTGTATGTCGTTATCATGTCTCCCCTGACCCTCCTGTCCTCTAGTGTTGTCAGACCGATTTCCCTTAACCTTTCTTCATAGGACATTCCCCATAGCTCTGGAACTAGCCTTGTTGCAAACCTTTGTACTTTCTCTAATTTTTTGATTGACGTGTTTGACCAGGTGTGGGTTCCAAACTGGTGTTGCGTACTCCAGTATGGGCCTGACGTACACAGTGTATAAAGTCTTGAACGATTCCTTACTGAGGAACCGGAACGCTATTCTCAGGTTTGCCAAGCGCCCATATGCCGCACCAGTTATCTGGTTAATGTCTGCTTCTGGCGATGTACTCGGTATTATACTCACTCCTAGGTCTTTCTCCTTGAGTGAGGTTTGCAGCCTTTGGCCACCTAGCCTATACTCTGTCTGCAGTCTTTTTTGTCCTCCTCCGATCTTCATGACTTTGCATTTGGCGGGGTTAAATTCTAGGAGCCAGTTTCTGGACCACACATCCAGCCTGTCCAGGTCTCTTTGTAGACCTGTCTGGTCCGCGTCTGATTTAATTCTCCTCATTAACCTCACGTCATCTGCAAACAGGGACACTTCTGAGTCTATCCCTTCCGTCATGTCGTTCACATATACCAAAAATAGCACTGGTCCCAGGACTGACCCCTGTGGGACCCAGCTCGTCACTGGCGACCACTGTGATACCTCATCACGGACCATGACTCGCTGTTGCCTCCCTGTTAGGTATTCTCTGATCCATTGCCGTGCCCTTCCTGTTATACGTGCCTGTTCCTCTAGCTTCTGTACTAATCTCTTGTGAGGAACTGTGTCGAAGGCCTCGCAGTCAAAGAAAATAGAATCAACCCACCCCTCCCTCTCATTTGTTACTTCAGTTACCTTGTCGTAAAACTCAAGTAGGTTTGTGACACAGGATTTGCCTTCCATGAATCCGTGCTGGCTGTCGTTTATAATCTTGTCCTGCTCAAGGTGCTCCACCACTCTCCTCCTGATAATCTTTTCCAAGACTTTGCATACTTTTACATGTCAGTGACACTGGTCTATAATTTAGTGCTTCATTTCTGTTTCCCTTCTTAAAGATAGGGGATACATTTGCCTTCTTCCATACCTCAGGTAGTTGCCCAGTTTCTAGGGAAGTGTTGAAAATTTTGGTTAGTGGCACATGTAGTGTCTCTGCTCCCTCTGTGTTTGTCTGTGTGTGTGTGTGTGTGTGTGTGTGTGTGTGTGTGTGTGTGTGTGTGTGTGTGTGTGTGTGTGTGTGTGTGTGTGTGTGTGTGGTGTTGATTGTACTCACCTATTTGTGGTTGCAAGGGTCGAGTCTTAGCTCCTGGCCCCGCCTCTTCACCGGTTGCTACTGGGCCCTCTCTCTCCCCTATCCATGAGCTTTATCAAACCTCGTCTTAAAACTGTGTATGGTTCCTGCCTCCACTACGTCATTTTCTAGGCTATTCCATTGCCTGACAAATCTATGACTGAAGAAATACTTCCTAATATCTCTCTGACTCATTTGTGTCTTCAACTTCCAATTGTGGCCTCTTGTTTCTGTGTCCCCTCCCTGGAACATCCTGTCTTTGTCTACCTTGTCTATTCCACGCAGTATTTTATATGTCGTTATAATGTCTCCCCTGACCCTCCTGTCCTCCAGTGTCGTCAGGCCGATTTCCCTTAATCTTTCTTCATAGGGCATTCCCCTTAGCTCTGGAACTAACCTTGTCGCAAACCTTTGTACTTTCTCTAGTTTCTTGACGTGCTTTATCAAGTGCGGGTTCCAAACAGGTGCTGCATACTCCAGTATGGGCCTGACATACACGGTGTACAGTGTCTTGAACGATTCCTTACTAAGGTATCGGAATTCTGTTCTCAGGTTTGCCAGGCGCCCATATGCTGCAGCAGTTATCTGATTGATGTGTGCTTCCGGAGACATGCTCGGTGTTGTTAGGTAAGACACATATGCAACAGTTAGGTATCTTTATTTCGAAACGTTTCGCCTACACAGTAGGCTTCTTCAGTCGAATACAGAAAAGTTGATAGAAGCAGAAGAGACTTGAAGACGATGTAATCAGTCCATCACCCTTAAAGTTTTGAGGTGATGGACTGATTACATCGTCTTCAAGTATCTTCTGCTTCTATCAACTTTGCTGTACTTGACTGAAGAAGCCTACTGTGTAGGCGAAACGTTTCGAAATAAAGATACCTAACTGTTGCATATGTGTCTTACCTAACAACCTGTCGGTATTTTATACCATTTTAATGTTCATGCTCGGTGTTATACTCACCCCAAGATCTTTCTCCTTGAGTGAGGTTTGCAGTCTTTGGCCACCTAGCCTATACTCTGTCTGTGGTCTTCTGTGCCCTTCCCCCATCTTCATGACTTTGCATTTGGCAGGATTAAATTCGAGAAGCCATTTGCTGGACCAGGTATCCAGTCTGTCCAGGTCTCTTTGAAGTCCTGCCTGGTCCTCATCTGATTTAATTCTCCTCATTAACTTCACATCATCTGCAAACAGGGATACTTCTGAGTCTAACCCTTCCATCATGTCGTTCACATATACCAAAAATACCACCTGATGCTCTAGCTTCTGCACTAATCTCTTGTGAGGAACTGTGTCAAAGGCCTTCTTGCAGTCCAAGAAGATGCAATCAACCCACCCCTCTCTCTCGTGTCTTACTTCTGTTATTTTATCATAAAACTCCAGAAGGTTTGTGACACAGGATTTGCCTTCCATGAATCCGTGCTGGTTGGCATATATACTCTTGTTCCGTTCCAGGTGCTCCACCACTCTCCTCCTGATAATCTTCTCCATAACTTTGCATACTATACACGTCAATGACACAGGTCTATAGTTTAGTGCCTCTTTTCTGTCTCCTTTATTAAAAATGGGAACTACATTTGCCGTCTTCCATACCTCAGGTAGATGCCCAGTTTCCAGGGACGTGTTGAAGATTGTGGTAAGTGACACGCACAACATATCTGCTCCCTCTCTAAGGACCCATGAGGAGATGTTGTCCGGTCCAATTGCCTTTGAGGTATCGATGTCCCTTAGCAGTTTCTTCACCTCCTCCTCATCTGTATGTATGTCATCCAACACTTGTTGGTGTATTCCTTGCTGGTGTCCCTATCTGGTCTGTCCCCCCAGAGTCCTTCCTGTCTCTACCGTAAATACTTCCTTAAATCTCGTGTTGAGCTCCTCACATACCTCTTGATCATTCCTTGTGAGTTCTCCACCTTCTTTCCTCAGCCTTATCACCTGGTCCTTGACTGTTGTCGTCCTCCTAATGTGGCTATACAGCAGTTTCGGGTCAGATTTGACTTTCGATGCTATGTCGTTTTCATACTGTCGCTGGGCCTCCCTCCTTATCTGTGCATACTCGTTTCTGGCTCTTCTACTAATCTCCTTGTTTTCCTGGGTCCTATGCCTCCTGTACCTTTTCCATTCTCTGTTCCACTTAGTTTTTGCCTCCCTACACCTTCAGGTAAACCAAGGACTCGTTTTGGTCTTCTTATTATTTCTGTTTCCCTTTGGAACAAACCTTTCCTCTGCCTCCTTGCGCTTTGTTGCCACATATTCCATCATCTCGTTTACTGATTTTCCTTCCATTTGTGTGTGTGTGTGTGTGGTGTGTGTGTGTGTGTGTGTGTGTGTGTGCGCGTGTTTTGTGTGTGTGTGTGTGTGTGTGTGTGTGTGTGTGTTGTGTGTGTGTGTGTGTGTGTGTGTGCGCGTGTGTGTATGTGTGTGTTTGTGTGTGTGTACTAAATTGTGGCTGCCAGAGTCGCGTACCAGCTCCCGACCCCGCCTCTCTGCTGGCTGTTAATGGTTCACTCCTTGCTGCGTGATCTCTATCATTCCTATTCTCAAAACTATGAATAGATTCTTTTTCTGCCACTTCACTGTCCAGGTTGTTCCACTGTAGACTTAAGAAGTATATCCTAACATTTCTATGACTCCTCTTTGTTTTTAACGCCGATTGTGACCTGGGATTGCATGATCCTTGCAGGCAAAAATTTATACCAATTGCCCTAGACATCCATTCATTGCCGACTCCCCTTCTAGGCAAGATGATACATATGATTGGGATCCCTCCCTTAGACCTGACCACATCTATGGCTGATCTGTACTTATCCAGCAGCTCCCATCTCCTGCCATAATGTTATCCAACTTGCTGACTATGTCACCAGCACCAGCTGGTGACACCCTCTGTCCGATCTTTCTATCTCTGTTACAAAAAGCACGGTCCATATATCTTACCTGAGAGTCTCCCACAATCAGAATATTCTTACCTTGATTAGCAGGGGAGTCAGTGGTACCTTTAACCTCACTAACCACTGAAGTACACTCGTCCTGGAAAACAGAGAAT